CTCTCGTCCGTTGCTGATACACAGCAGCTGGCAGTTACGAGATTGGATCGATGAGCGGCGTCGAGTAACTCGAGTGCCTCTCCATCGCGCTGACTTTCCAGGCTATTTTTAGCGCAGGACTATTCTCGTAATATACTATTTAGCGGCAGGTGATACGCGTACATCTACCGATGCCGTAACATTAGCATACGCGAAGTATCGTTCCGACATTTTTTACCTCTCTTCCTTTCTCATTTTTATTTGCATAAAATCGTGCGACTTCTCTCTCTCTCTCTCGCCGGGAAATTGAATGCGGTCGGGACGATGACTCTTTAAGATTGCACGTCGTGAGAAAGAGTTGTTTAATTGTGCGCCGGAAACGCGGCTGTGAGACGATAATTGCTCGGGAACGAGGAATTTCTTCATATCGCAAGATATATTTTGCCAACTTTTTATCTTCCCGATATATTGTTTCGAGCAATTACATGAAAATTCGCGCTTTCTGTACGTTATTTCCATCATTTCTTGCTTGCTTTTTTTCCGAAAGCGACAATAATTACTAGCATCCAGTGTTTTTCGCGCTCAAATGATCCATGAATAATAAAGCCGTTTAAATATCGCTTTTATCTGATCCGAGAGAAATACGTAATGTAGAAATATGTGCTGGAAATTTTTGCGAGCATCGATAATTGCACGTTACATGTAACATGACTGTCACAGGAAGAAAAATCATCAATATTGCAAACGAGGCGAAATTTGCACGGTACAATTTTTACTGAAGATAAACAGATCTCTCTCTCTCGCTCTTTCTCTCTCGAGAGTATCTCCCGAGGTTAATCAACGTGGATGACGAAATTACGAGATACGCAGGCTACTAATTAAAATCAGCGTTTGTCGGACGCGCACAATGCGCGACATTAACGAATATCATCATTAGCATTGCGAAAATACGGACGGCGGCGATTCGAACGCGCGAATAATTTCGTGCAAATTATAGGGGAGTTCCGGTGGGAACGATGACGTGGGAACGATCGATTATCGAAGCAGCCGCCGTAACAAATGCGTAACACCGATCCCGCGAGGTCGTTATTATCGTCCGTAATCCGTGCTCTCTCTCTCTCTCTCTCTCTCTCTGTCTCTCTCTCTCGCCTCTAACGAGGCATTCGGCACAGCGACACAGTTTTTAAAACCGTTTAACTCGTTTCCATCGGATCGCGAACGGTGACAATATCGACGTGCACGAGGCTCGATTATCTTCATCTCGTTCACGTAGCACGACTGTGAACTGTTTTCGCGTATTTCTCGACGAGCGCTTCTCGTTTTCGGAATTAAATCTCTTCAAGCGTCGAATGAAGTAATTAAAATGTAATTGTGCAATGTTTCTAGAAAAAAATTTGTGCTACACTGAGAAAAATATCCGGTGAAAAGGTAACGAACGGATATTATACCGATCACTTTAATCGGAAAAAAAAAGAAACCGATCAGATATCCAATCAGAAAATATCAATCGATCGGATATCTGATCAGAAAGTTCAAAATTCGGAACTTTCCGATCGGATATCCGATTAAAGTGATCGGTGTAATATCCGTTCGTTACCTTTTCATCGGACATTTTTTTCAGTGTAATAATAAAAATCCTCCTGTTATTACGACGCACTTTTACACAGAAAAAAATATATACTGTATTCAAGTAAATATTATTCAAGTAAATATATACTGTATTCAAGTAAATATTATTTATTTTAAGTATATCATAAGTTTGTATTTCCGCAAATATATCACAAGTTCATCACAAGCATTAGATTTAATTGAATATATTCTGAATTTTAAACGCAATATTTTAATCGAGAATATTAAATTAAAACAAAAATTTGGTTTGCTTGTTATAGAGTTGACGTAAAGTAAGTTTGATTTTTCTTTGATACAACTTTACAATATTCTTGAAGAGAGAATAAATTCTTCTTTTGAGTCATGATAATGAGATTTTCTAACACTTGTGATGAGTATATTTTAAGATTATTATCAAGAATATATTCTTTGTTGAGGAAAACTATTACTTAAAAGAAGAAAAATAAACTGAGTAATCGCTTTTCTTGCCAGTAGAATGATATTTTTCTCCGTGTACGTTTTCGACTCGTGCTTCAATTTTTATTTATAATCTTGTATATTTTTCTATTTATATTTGTGTCAAGTTTAAAAAGAGATGCGTGCGATAAATATCGTTTTACTTTGGAGCACGCGCGGTCTAAATAAAGATTGAAAAAAATTAAAAAAAAATTACGTAAAAATAAAAACTAAAGTTATCCTGCGGCGATTTTCAATTTCCACAAGATCTCCCATTGTCTCGCGCGACAATCCCATACGTTTGCGCTATGGAAAAAAGTCGTCGCAGCGATCAGCGCGAAAGCCACTGCTATAAATAAATTGACACATTTCTGTGCGTGGCTATGCATCGAGAGTAGAGAGCTATGAATTGCATTTCGCAGCTTATCCGACGTATGCGCGTCCTGTCACCCGCGTCCTCATTTTCCCAGCTGCTGTTTCGTTTAAGCCCCGACTAAGTCGCGTTGCGAAAAGCCGCAATAAACGTAAGTGTCCGGTGGCACGTGCATATTTATATACGTGTGCTTACACACGGACGGGGAGAGAAACTTCTTTGACATATCTAGGGCTTAGCTGCCTCACCGTCGAAACTTTTCAGGCAAAAGAGCCAAGTTGAAAAGAGATAGATAGCTATGGAGGTACGCGCGTCCTACTATTGCGACAATAAACCGATACGACATATTATAGACGTATTACATTGACGGAATAAGATTACGCGCGGTAATAATAATGGAAGCCAGGTTGAATCACCGCGAAATTTCAGCGCGCAAAGTCGCGGTATTAATAGTAATTAATGGCCATTGCTCTCGAACGGGATATTAATCCTCCTCGATTGCGGTAGGTTAATCTATTTGCTCGAAATTATGAACAAACTAGATAGATACTGCAGTTCTGTCATTTGTCCGAGTTTCTGTACAAATCGATACGCAAAATAATGCTTTTCTTCTTGTTATTAATTTTTTTGTAAGTTAATATTAAAACTTTGCAATGTATTGTACATGTATATGATAGAATAAATTATTATATCTATCAATATTTAAATCGTAAAAAAATCTAATCGAGAAAGCTCTAATCGATCTAATATTAGATTTTATAACAATGTATATATTATTTCTCTATCAATGAGAGCTACTATAAAGTTTTTTAATAATTTAAATATCCGAAATCCGATTGCAAAATTAACAGTAATATCTCCATCTATAGCCACGAATTATCAGTAATACATAAATCGAAGGGGTTGCAAAATTAAGGTCTTAATTTACAATTTATAAAGATATAATTTATAAAGATTTATTTATTTATTTTTCCGAAAGTACCCCGGAGTCTAATTACGGACGTCTTCGTAATCCGTAATCTTTCCTAAGAAGACGTCCCGGAAAGCGAAGTACTATTAACGATTAATCCGTGGTAGATCCATTGGCATTCGATTCATATCAACAAAGGGTTTGATGCCGCAGCGCGCGAGGGGATAAAGGTGTAAGGAATGACAATCCAACCTCAGCCAGCTGGCAGCTACAATGGCAACCAGGGCAAGGACGATTACCGCCAGTGTATATCCCTCTCTCGCTCTCTCTCTTTTTCTCCGCAGTACCTCTCGTATTTGCCACCCACTCTCACCCTTTCGCGAGCACCCTGGTCTCTCTCGTGCTACGACCACTCCTCCTTTTACCCTCTCCTCTCGACCAGCCACTTTTCAAACTTAACCGATCCCCTGGCATTGCATTTCTCGCTATTGAATTCGACGGCGTCGCGCTCATCGGAATATCGGGACTCGATTATCATCGCGTGAATCTGCCGATATATCGGATTCTCCGAATCATTTGCCGTGAGTAATTATACGCGGTGGGTAATTATAAACGGGTAATTATATCCCTCGGTGAAATTATTTCGCCAAAGTCTTTTCAATGGCTGCTAATTTTTCATCCTTCTCGTCGGATCAATCCTTATCACTCACGCAAAAATTTATATATATATATATATATGGAAATTATTATTTATTCATTTCTTGGATTGCAGTTGAATTACTAATCGTGTATCAGTTAAAGTTGTTTGTAGCTAGATATTAGAAATTTATAAATCCTGCGATATATCTGAAATTCAATAAATCTCGAATTTTTCCAGTGTTCGAAATGCAACGATATATTTGGAGCTCGTACGATTCCGTAGCATGTCACTGTGCTCCAATAATAAAATGTCACTCTCTGGAATATCGGATTTCGGCGCAATATGTGCACGATAAATGGTTTTTGGCAAGTAACGCGTGCATTTGCGGCCGAATGAAATATTCAAGGGACCGACGTCCGGATGAGCGGGATGTAAGTATTCCGGTGAGGAACGAGGGCAACCAACCGACTTGAAAGCGCGCCGGTGTCGAGTAAATCGACCCCGGGAAAGACGGATAAGTTCCTGAATTATGTACAGTGAGCAAATTTGAATTTGACTCCTAGCGAGCCTTCGACGGAAGAGAAGTTTCGCGAAGGATCAACGATTAACCTGGAAACGAAGTGTTGATTCATCTCGGAGGATCGACCCAAACATTTTCCTCGCTTCTGATCGATATCCCCGAGAGAGAGCGAATATTGATTCATCGCCAAAATAATTGCCAAATATAAATGAGAGCGACTGATTGTGATATAATAGCGAGATAATCGAAATAATCAAGTAAACAGAGGTGTCATTATTAATGTATACGACGCGCTAATATTTAAACAAGCCGCTTGTCGTTTGATTTAATCCCCCTATCGATCGTTGAATACGACGACAAATTTCCGTAAATGAGACCATTTTCACGCTAAACGCTTTTTGTCTTCGGGATATAACCCGAAGACCCGAATGAAGCTCGTTGGTAGTTTTGCGAGAGAGTAGCATGCACGTACTTGCGCTAGAATAAGTAATGCGAGATGATAAATTAAACTCACTTTCGTCGGTCTGCGGCGCGGAGAGAATGGCGCTGTGCTTTTTCTTCACATCTTCCACATTCGTCTGGATCCTATCTATCATTTCGCGAATCTCCTCCACCTGCGGAAAAACATAGACGTTAGAATCAGCAGTTGGCTTTAGTTAAATTTATTCATGTTTCGAAGGTCCGATATTATCGCGAAAATCTCACAAGCCATTTATTTTAATAGAATTTATAAAATTTATTTTATTTTGACATTTGTATCTTTCAAAAATATTTACGCTACTTTCTAAAAATAATCAAATGAGAAATAAGATTTATTTTTAATGTAAGAGTGTGCGTTGCAATTTTTTTAATATTGGAATTCATTGGATCCTAATATATCTTTGTCATTGTAACATCTAATATATCTTTGTCACATAGCATGTAATAAAGAAATAAAAAGATATTAAAAAATTATCACCATCGAGCGAAGTCATCGAAGTATTCAATATTTCATTAAATTGACAATATCAAAATGAGTTTTATTTTACAGAAAAAAATATCTCGTTAAAAGAATATTGAGGGAAAAAACGCTCGATTGCATTGCTGATGAAAGTAGTCAATTTAAGTAGTCGAGGTCGGCATACATATTACCGGACACACTACTTTACTTAAGTAGTACAGCCGTAATTGCGATCAGAGCGAACAGCGCTCGCCGTAAGTGATACAAACCGCGCTTGGTCAGACGATCGTATATATATATATATATATATATATATATATATTTGTTCCTTTGCAAATCCACACGTGTTTTAAATTGGAATAAAAGGGAGAGAGATATTTAAATTTAAATAAAGGTTTATATAATAATTTTTGAATATTATTAAACAATTTTGATTTTAATAATAAACATGATATTTTTTAATCGGAATAATAAATCGAAATAAAGTACTGGCATATCAAGTTTCACAATTATTTCATATCGTGCATAATTATTTCAATACCTCGATTAAATATATTTTTATTTACTTAAAAATATGCTGCAATAAAATACAATTTTAAAATATAAGGCTAACAAATTATGTATGCATTAATTTCTTGATATAATTAATTTATTCATGTAACTTTGTTTATTTTATTTAATGATTTATCGGATTTAACGCGCGCGTGTACGTTGCATAAATAAAACGTAAGGAAGTTCGTCGACAAAGTTTACGAGCTATTTCCTAACTAAAGCGAAAAGCTTTCCACTCTTTGTCAGCTTCAAGAGCTGAGAGATATTTTTAGCGAGACGCCACAGTGTCGTGATAAATTCCAAAAGCTCTCGTTCGCATATACATCTCAGACGCGGTCTAATTAGAGGGACGAAAGAGAATGGCAAATAATATTATATCTGTAGCGAACGTAGAACGATGGAGCCAGACCCGGGCTGCATGATGGCGCATGTATGTACACCGCATTGTAAATCCCGGACGAAATCCCGTCCCATCGATTCGCAAGCTGAAAAAGGATGCTTATTCTTTTCCGTCTCATTCGCTCCCTCGCATCGACCTTTCCTTGATGTGATTCCGCCTGACTCATCGGGATCCTCCGTCGTTTCATCGCAAGAAACGACGTCGGACGCTAGCCATGACGACAGCGACGGCAATCTGGAATTTCGTCGGCGAAATCGAGAGAGATAACCGACCATCTCGAAGAAACCATCTCGGTCCGTAAACGTTAACTGCCCCAACTCCATCTCACTTTAATCCCCTTAGCAAAAGCACACGATGACGAGAGATAGTTTTGGGAAATGACATAATTCTGACGGTTAATTCAATTCTAAGGGCTTGGCAAGGTTTTTCTAGTTATGAAGCCGTGGACGCGGTTTAGGATGTATCAGTTAAGGATGTTTTGTACCTATTTTCAAAATATTGAGAATTTAATGGAAATTGTACAGAATTCATTCTGTACAATTTTTAAATCGATTCACTAAAGCGTTCACAAGTTATAAGGATTTTAATTTGCACCGAATTAACATGTGTTTTTATGGAAAACGTATAACCACGTCGATTCAAATGACAAGAACACATGGAAATAATATTCAGATTTGTTGAAAATTTGCAAGAGTTTAGATACAGAGGAAATATTTGGTCAAATAATATTATACAAGTACTACCTGGTTAAAAAGATATTACATATAATTCGATGAAGTTAGCCATGTATCTGTCACAAGGCGAAATTCTCTGCCAAAAGTTAATAATTTCGATTAACAAAATTCGGAATATTTCAATAAAAACGCAATAAATATTAAAAAATACATCTCTGCACTGTAACTAAGATCAAATTGTAATATTCCACAAATTCCACAATTTCTTACTCAAAATACATCAAAAGTGGATATATTCGTCAATATTGATTTTTAGCTATTTTCTGCTGGAATTGTACGTACAAAACATTCTTAAACGCCAAATTTCTTCGTAGTTGTTATAAAATAAAATGACATCGATGAACAAATGAGGCTAAATATCCGATAAAGGTATTTATTTCGCGAACAAATTTTCAATTTAACAAAGAGCGATGTTCTGGAGCAGTTTTCGCGTTGCTTTACATCAAAGGATAACGCGTTAGGCGATCGATGACGAAAGGATCGTTAAGAGCTCTTGTACTATATAACTACACAAAATACACACACACACACACACATTCTCTCTCTTTCTCTCTCTCTCTCTCTCTCTCGTTGACAAAGCGTACGTTGTTTCACGCATACAGGAACGAGCATCTCATTAGCACCATCCTGTGCATCATTCGCGGCGACGCATCCTTGCTAAGCGCGTCCTCGTCCTGCTCCGCTGTTGTACCCGCTCGCCCATTCGATAATCCCTTCCGTTACTTCCCCTCTTAACTGCGACTGCATAGTGCATAGACTGCAACGTGTTTACATACGAGGTACACGAACGCGCGCCTTACGAGGACAGCGGCCTAATGGTTTCTACGGCGACATATCTTGGCATCATCCCCAAAATACGAGCGATGCACGTATCGATTTCGTGTTAACCTCAAGCCCCGACGTCTTTTTTCGCCCCCAAATATTTCTCGGATATTGCTCTTTTGTTTTCAAAAGAATTTCGAAACGAAATGTTATATTTATTAGTATATTAGTATATTCTTTATACTACCAATAAACTATTATATTACGGATAATATCGATGCGTTGTTATTATTATTATTACTATTACAATACAATTATAATATAGAAATATTATTTATTATTATTATAAATAAAATTGCTAAATTCACGTAACGTTTCATGGAATCATATCAATGCATTGATAATCATTTATGAATTATAATTATTGTATACATGTTTATAATAGTATTAGTAATAGAGAGAAATTATTATTTCATCACATAATAATTCCGTCGCATAATCTCCATTAAAAATTTTTATAAATGCAAATAAAACAGGCTTTAAAAATCGGAAAAATTAAAATTTTAAAAGACAAACATTATAACAAAAACATCGGCTAATTAACGCAAACGTGTGATGTCGATATGCAAAATTAATAAAAAAATTATTCAACATTTAACGCGTAATTTTATGTTTTCAGATTAGAATTCACGGGCCGTATGTATGCCTTATGATCCTAAATTACAGTGAAAAAGGTAATTATCCTCCTCCGGGCTCTGTCTAGAGAAGATTCCGGAAGTTCGTCTCGCGACCCGTCCCTATGCGTAATTTCGCCTCGAAACTCGAAACACGCTTGTAAAGTTCGCGAAAACGGAAGAGGATATTAACGCTCGCAAAGATGACGAGAATAAGCTTGCGCGCGATTACACGCGCCAAGGAATTTTGTATCGACAGAATTCCAACTTCGTGTTTCGCTTCTTTTATCCGCATGAGTCGGTACCACAAGGGTCTTAAGCCGATTTCGCTAATGTAGCTAACAATATAGCGAAAATTCGGATTTAGTCGCGCATACCAGTAATTACGGAGACACACACGTGACATTTTACTTGTCAAAGAGACTTTTAATGTCAATTCAATGATTATGATATATATATATTGATTTTTTTTAGCACGCTTCATGTACCTTAATCATCAAGTTATCATAATATTCCCGGTACAAATGTTAACACGTGAATTATTGTAAACATTTTTTATTAAAAATTGTATTAAAAATATTTCATTAAAATACATTATACTGCTGACATTTTATACATATTTTTTATAACTATGTATTTGAAACGATAAAATTTATTAGTTGTGAAACGAGATCTTTTTTTGCACATGTGTATATACTTTTTTTCGAGGAAAAAATGCGACTTATTAGTCAAGTTATATATTAAAGATAAATATTTTTAATATTATATATAACATGTTCCTTAAATACAAAATATTAATCCACAATTCTGTAAAGAAATTAAATCTGAAAGATATACGTGTATGAAGAGAAAAAATAACACATCTAGAGAGAATATTAACAAATATTACTTTCATCTCCATGCTTTTATTTTTGCGAAACGTTTTAAACTTCATCGAGATAATATAATATAATACATCATGAAAGTCTCATGATAGCCTGAAGCATGCAAAATTGCATTTTGAAATCCACTTTTTGTCCCGGAATGAAAAACAAACATTGCAGAAAAAATAATGGTACAAAAATAGTAATAACAATAAGAAAGGTGCACGCAATTTCCATGTTATAACAGGAAAATAATAGGGAACTCCCAGATGACAGGGTGCTCGTGGAAAAAACAGCGGGAAATAAAGATGCGTGATAAAACGAGCGAAATGACGACGGAACGCGGTAAAAATCAATCTAACTTGGTGCGCGCGTGCTTTTCGCGCGCTCTCTTTTACGATCATCCATTTACATGGGAACGCGTTCTTTTCTACGCCAAGATTCTTTCCCGTTGGAAAATATCGTGACAGCAACAGAGAGGAATTTCTGCGATATTCGTATATATTGTCACCAAATGGAAATTGCATCGTGCAATTTTACTGCCGCGCGTTACGTTGCCTTATTAGATTTATTAGCGACATAAATATAAATATACGGTTGTCGTTATGTGCCGATGTGAATCATCAATTATTTAGTGCCTTTACACGACCAACACATGCTCGTTTTTGTCCTTCAAAAAAAAAAAAGTAAATTAATCCATTATTCATTAAATTTGTCATTCCAAAGAATACAGGATTATAAAAATTTCCGTTAATATAAAAAAATTAATACGATAAATGTAATAAATAATATGTATATATGTAGCAAATAATATAATAAAATCTGCATAGAAACAAATTTTATGCGCGACAATTTTTGACAATAAAAATGTGTGTAAGAATAAGAGATTCTCTATAAACGTACGTTTTATACGACTTTGTAATTTATAAGTTAAATAAATGAACGATTTACCCATGTATGTATGTTTCCGATAAATACAGCAATGAAGCAAAATAGCAAATTAATACAGCGAGTTATAATAATACAATTGTGGCAATGTTTGCAAGTGTAATGACAGTATTTAATACAACAAATGTAGTTAAAATTAGCGTCTCGCAAAGCAATTCATTCTTGCAGTTCCGTAACGGAACTGAATGGAATCTCTATTCACATGGAACTCTGTACTGCAAATGCCCTCGGGGATCATCTCTACCAAGCTTTGTTATTTTATTAGTCTTTAGTCATTTCACTTTATTATTATATCATATTTAATGAAATTGGAAATATATTTGTTCTTCTAAAAGAAAATACAAGTATTTTGTCAGTAAATATCTATTTTTTTTCAAATTTTAAACTTAGAGTTAATTTTGAAAATGTCATATATAAGACACAGAGAGAAATCACAAAATTATTCATTAACAAAAAATACATTTTCTCTCCCTAATCATCTATATACAAGGTGTTTCTTAATAAGTGCAACAAATTTTAGGAGATGATTCTTGGTCGAAAATCAAGGGGAGTTTTTCATATAAACATACTTCTACATCTCTCCCTGTGGAGTTACACTCCTCCAAAATGAGGGTGAAAATTAGATTTTTTTTTTTTTTCAAATTTGAAACAAGTTAAAGAAATAAAATTAGGTGGATATTTTCCACTAATAAAAAGGTTATTTATTAATATTTTTTCCTCTCATATTATTATAAGGAGATGAAACTAGCAACCCCCTATTCAATTTTTTATTAGAACTTTTTAATATGAAACTTTTTATATGAAAAACGCCCCTTAATTTTCGACAAAGAATCGTCTGAAATTTTTCGCACTTATTAAGAAACAGTCTGTATATCACAAATAGTTAGAAATATTTGACTTAAGTTCTAGCGCTACTACGATTCTAGCGCATTTCCAAATTCTGCTTACGTAGCACGAAACACGAAAATGGTGGCGTGTAAATGATGTTTATCGACTAAAACACCCGTTAATGCCATTTTGGCTTTCGCTTCACGAATCTGCATTGCCTGCGTCCCGATGATCGTGTTAAAATCCGACCAAGGCATCCTTTCCGCCCGCCTGAGGGATTTCACGAGCGTTGTATTTTCCGCTGTTGGAAAATTGAAACCTCCTCATGGACGTCAACGTGCACGACCACGAACACTGGCAAAACAACGTGAAGAAACACGCCGTTCGCGGTAATTATTATCCAGCTAAATTATACACGATAATTATAGTCGCGCAAAGTTATCTTGACGATCTGACGCTTCTCTAATCGACGTAATCGACGACAAACTAAACTGGTCTTTAACGTGGAAGTCCGGCTAGATATCGAAATAACTTTTAATAATTACACCCCGTTGTTGCAAAATTACTTGACGATAAAGATTATTCGATATTGGAAAAACCGCGGATGAATCTACAGATGATATATAATGCATGAAAAATATAATAATGTAAATGCAATAAATATAAATAGGTTTATGTGTGCCAATAAAAGTAAAATTTTAAGAGAGAAAATTGTTTTGAACATAGAGATGAGGAAGCATTTGCAGAGATCAAAAGTGTATCCTTTATTACATTTTATAAAAGTTATCGTTTGCCTTGCATTTCCAAACATTTATCCGTAAAAGAGCCACGTGAATAAAAATGAGACAAATACTGGAACGAAGGTATGTACTTCAAAAATACGAAGGTACTTCAAAAAATATGAACTATGACAATTCCAAAATGTATTTATGATTTATATTTTTTTATAATCTTGTAAATATAACACCTTCTCTTTAAGCTGGATTTTCTTTATTCTCGTTTCCATAGCATTTGTTACAATGTTGACACGATCAACAGACTGCACGTCTAGACGTAAATAAAGCAATAAAAATATACATTTATAAAAAGTATTACTTCTTCTCTCGAAACTCCATCTGATAAAGACGTAATTAGAGAAAATGTGATATTGTTTAATAAAATAATCTACAAACGCTGCAAAGCATAAAATAATTTCTCTTATCTCGTTCTCTACTTTCTTTTAGAATTTAAGGAATGAAATGATACTATCGTTATGCGATACAGTTGTTCTGCATTCCAAATAACACCTCGTATCTACGACCACAAATCACAAGCTTGCCAGAGAAGTAATGTATCAGATAAAGAAACTTTTTTGCATTCGAGAGAAAAAGTGGAAACCGACTTATTATCATACGTACGATAAGATTCGTATACATAAAATCACATACGTTCGCTTCCCGTTTTATTATCGATGGAAGTTAAATGACTGCAATTCCTTGTTTTTACATCCGCGATATACATTTATTCTGTAAATGGCGGACATTCGCTAAATTAATACAATAATAATAATTTCAAAGCGGCGCAAAAATTAATTAATTTTCCGAAAGGCGATTACGCGGTAATCCTCGAATAATTCACGATTTGAATTATCCTCGAAAAATATTTAATATAAACGCGTATACGAAATATATGGAACATACGGTGAAATGTGCGTCACTTCAGTACGAAAACGTGTGTTTGCGATTCCGCCCCGTAATTTCGTATAAGCTGATTAAGCGATGCGATTAACGCGCGACGTACCGATACTCGTTAGAGATTTCGCTTCAATAAAGTGCGGATCACGAAGGCATCTTCGAACCGTAAAAACGCTCCGGGAAAAAAGACGTGTCACGCGCGTTTGTTGCAGCTGCAAGAAAGCTGTATCTTGCTGCCCGAGCAAGTGCGCGCACACACACACACACACACACACACATCCACAAGTAAAAACATTTTATCGTAAAATAAGGGAGAGCAGGCTCTCATGAGGCACGATCGATAGAATAAGAGAGTTCTGTGCAAAGATTCCAGCGCGGAATTTTTAGAGAATGCCGTATTTTCTCCGAGTTATTAAATTTTACAGATACATATAAGCACCGTTACGCTCTTATGTATTATCCCGCGATATTTACCTGTATCTATGTGAAAAGAAGCGAGAGAAGGAACCGTGCGCATTGTCCTCCGGTACGAGCGATATACTCTTTTTCGCTGATACTGGTTTAACCTACTTTCGATTGTTGGGAAATCGTGCGCGGCGCCGGAAATGAAATTGCCGTAGCAAGAAATTAATTCGTTACTCACCTCCGCGAAGAATTCCGTCATGAAATCATCCGGCGCCCCGACGTTGACGGACACATCGTCCGCCACATCGTCGTCATCCGACTGGGCCTGCAAAGAGAAATACAATCAGATTAGAAACAGAATAATCTCTCTAAATGTATCGGAATCAGTGAGAGAGAGATTTACAAGCAGTTAAGTACAGCACTGATTACAGTGATAGTACACTGATTCACTTTTAGAGAGGACAATATTTAAGGATATTTTTTAATTTTTGTAAAACTAATGTGAGTACAATAAAAAAAATAATAGATTAATATGAATGATGGATAGAGAGAAAAATATTTATATTCGATTTAATTAGAATATCAATTTTATTTTCTACTTTATACAACGTGTTTCTAATCATATGTGTAGCGCAAGCAAAAAAAAAATAATTATTTTTCATTTGCATTTTTTTTATTTCTCTCGAGAAAATAAAGTCTAGTATAAAAAATTCTAATATTCTAATTCTCGATTTATTTTTTATCGAGGAATAGATTATATTAATTCACACAACGATATTTCCCTTGTATATTATTCATTTATTTAATCTCTATAAATGTATATTTAAAAAATATTGTGTACGCTCGATAAGCGAAAATATCATACGGTAATCGTTTTCACATACTTGGTTTCCCAGAATATTTGAAATGGAGTGATGATATAAAATTATTTTCGGATATTATACATACGAGGCTTATCGATTAAGACTAGGTCGGTCATGATTTATTCCAATGCGATAAACGTAAAAGCATATATACATGCATGACTAACGAGTTTCATCAGTCATTGCGTACGCGGACATGTACACACGCAATCTCCCATCCTGATAAGACTGACTTCCTCTCGCGTAACGTGGTACAACCGCTTCCATTCGTGCAATAATGATCTTGCCCTCGTTAGAATAATCTCACATATTGTAATAAATATATTATCTCTGCGTTCAAATTATTTGAATTTGAGTCAAAAGATAAGTGACGGCTTTATTCTACAATTTCGCTTACATTTTTTATTGAAAGAAATAAGAAAATAGATCATATAATACTTTATATAAATTATAGATAAGATTGTAATATAATAGATTTAACAGGGGAAAAATGCATAATTATATTTACAAAAACATTGTACTGACATCTTATATTGTTAATTAAATTATATTTGTACGTGCATTTTAACGTGCATTCAAGTGCTCGTAAAATTAATTTATTGCATTCTTGTCATCTTATCTTATCTTATCTCAACCGCTGAAGCATTGTAATACACAAGCTCGGGATATTAATTAGTATTTGGAAACATTGTTGTAAATGTTAATATAGACATTTAATATTTAATTTTAGAAAAATATTTCTTAATATATTATAAATATTATAAATATTCTTAGAATAATATAAACATTTTTAAACATTATAATATTATATATTATAATATTTTAAACATTACGATTCTAGATAATCCAATATAATTTTATTTTTTAAATTTAGAATACCTTGTATGTGTTGTTTTCTGGACATACATTATAATATAAATATGCTATATATCTTATTCATCATTATTAAAATGACACAGCTTAAATATTAATAATATATAAATAAATTTTACGATAATGCTAAGTAATTGTGGCTTATAAGCATATATTTTGAGGAATACTTTTCAAATTTAGCATTTTCATCTATCTGATAAAATAAATCATAACCAAGTCGCTATCATAATCATAATCAGCTTAAATTCTAATCATGTTTCTGTTACTGATTATTAATAATCCCAATCAAACAACTAAATAATTAATATTTAAAATTCATTGTTAAGATCATTGTATAAAGTCATCATTAAAATGTCATGATAAAAATTCATTATTTAATCTAGATTTCGATTTTAGAACTTGTATATTTAGATAAAACTTGTTTATATAATTATTTTTCGATTATTTTTTATTTAGCAAATTAAAATAATATAATATCTTTCTCTCACAAAAATGTGAATATATTATATTTTTCTCAAATTTTTGTGTGACACCTATACATATAAAATATTTATTAAAAATTTAAATATTTTTCGAAATTTCAAAACAAGATTTTCAAATAAATGTTAGATTTGTCAATCAATTTAATTCATTTTGCACCACACAAATTAACTTTTAAATAAATAAGAGAAACAATACAAAAGTATTTCACGTACATTAATATTTGAAAATACAATCTTTCTTTGCAGCGAATGCAATGCTAGATATGCTAGATATAATGGGCTAATCGAGATTGCAGGAAAATTTCTTTCATCAAACGATAAACTACAGCGGGCAACAGTATTTTCTTTCATTATAAGTTTAATGTTAAAATAATAGATATAATGACAATTAGAAGGCTCGTATATTGCAATGCAAAAATAATCAATTAACATTAAAGGGCCGACAATACGAGCAAATTAATAAGTTAGAAATAAAAATAAATAAAACTATTAATTATAAGTTCGTTTAATTAAAAGATCACAAACGTTTGGACTTAACTTAGTCTTCTTCAGTATGATACTTAAATAAAAAACAATATATTAAATTGGTCCGTAATTGATCGCAAAATACAATTTATAAACTAGTCAAAATGTGAAACAATCATCAGAGCGCAGATAAAAAACAATAAGAAGTCCTCAAATACTTGTACGGATCGCATTTATACGTTTCGACGATAGGAAATGGAGTAACGCAGAGAGATAACTAACGCCCCATTTAAACAATCTTCTTCGTTGGGAAGCGAGAAGTTGTTGATTTGAAATTGGTTATGTCAAGTTGTGTCCGAGTCAATCCATCTCATACTGTTAATAGGAATAAATTAGATGAAGAAATGAAAAACTACATTAGATGAGTTATTGAAATTTCCATGAGTATTTAAAAAAACAAAAAAAAAAACAAAAAAAAACAATAATTAGTATGTACTGACGCAATACCTATTAATAATAATGAATGAGTAACTAATGTTGAAGTCAATGATAATTAAAATTGCTTACAAGAATGTCAAAATTTGCTTCTGCGATAGTCATAATGGTCTTAAAGGCTTCTTACTGTCTCGGAGTTCGAACCATGACTGTTAGTATACAGTAATTTCAGAACATATTATAAATAAGTAACATGCGTTTGATTGGGAAAACGTTACGTAATTTTAGACACAGAGATTCATTACAAGAAGATACTTATCTCTGAAATGTTACACAATAAAGAACAGAAACATGGAATTAACTTGAACACAGATACAGAATTACTCGACAGTGCATATTTTGATATTCTAGACGAGTTATCTAACGGATAATAGTTACTTTGTTTTCGTTTTTATTTTTGTTTTTATTTTATCATACACGTTATTTTCAACTTTTATCATGACACATACTAACAGTCATGGTTCGAACTCCGAGACAGTAAGAAGCCTTTAAGACCATTATGACTCTCGCAGAAGCAAATTTTGACATTCACGTAAGTAATTTTAATTATCATTGACTTCAACATTAGTTACTCATTCATTATTATTAATAGGTATTGCGTCAGTACATATTAATTATTGTTTTTTTTTTGTTTTTTTAAATACTCATGGAAATTTCAATAACTCATCTAATGTAGTTTTTCATTTCTTTATCTAATTTATTCCTATTAACAGTATGAGATGGATTGACTCGGACACAACTTGACATAACCGATTTCAAATCAACTTCTCGCTTCCCAACGAAGAAGATTGTTTGAATGGGGCGTCAGTTGTCTCTCTGCGTTACTCCGTTTCCTATCATCGAAACGTATAAATGCGATCCGTACAAGTATTTGAGGGTTTCTTATTGTTCTTTATCTGCGCTCTGATGATTGTTTCACATTTTGACTAATTTATAAATTGTATTTTGCGATCAATTACGGACCAATTTAATATATTGTTTTTTATTTAAGTATCATACTGAAGAAGACTAAGTTAAGTCGAAACGTTTGTGATCTTTTAATTAAACGAACTTATAATTAATGGTTTTATTTATTTTTATTTCTAACTTATTAATTTGCTCGTATTGTCGGCCCTTTAATGTTAAGTTTAATGTTGTTGTTATGAGAATAAAGATTTCGTGGAACGAAGTATCTACAGAATGTCATATATTACATTACATTGTTTCTACCTCTCAGAAGATTTGAAATAAATATTAATCAAAGTTGGGGAATATCATACAATATTATCAATGTTTCAATTATTAGATCTATCTAATACTAGTTCACGTTATATTTTCAAACTTAACCATTTGGAGAAGCAAAAATAATGTTCTTCCATAAAATTCTATAAAAAAAAATAAAATGTTAGATTACTAAAATAATTATCCATGAAAATGATATTTATATAACTTATGTCATGTTTCTACAATGTTGTATTTACCTTTTCATTAGCAATTTATATAATATTTAGACATATAAAATAAAATAGAGATATAAATATAATCTTGACCCGTTTGAAAAAATTATAAAAATGTTTGATGTATGCGATATTTCATATAATCCGCGCCCCATAAAAATGTACATACATAAATTACAAAAAAAAAAAAAAATTATCACTGATAAAATTCATGGAATTAAAAACGTATAATTTTATTAAACAAAACTATGCGGTACGTTGTGTACTTTTTCTCTTTCTAACGTCTATAAAATCTCTACTGCTACAGTGAATGCATAATTTTTCTTGCATAATAATTGACACGTGCAGATACCTCGCGCCTGTTAGTTTCGCGGCCGCGCTCGTTTCTATCGCCCTAGTTGTCTCGGGGTTCTCGCTTAATCGATACGATATTTGCATACAATTAAGAAACGATTATAGACATCGCGCGCGCGATTGCGACAAAAGAACCGAAGAGTGTATCGTTCCTCTCTTCGCAGTCGATAATCGCGTCCAAATAAATCGCGATGGCAAATAATATATTTCGATAATGACAGGTACACGCGAACGTGGAGTAAAATAATAACGTTACCCAAACAAAGTTTAGCGCGATGACCACGACGACAACTATAACATTATGTGTATCTCTCGATTCTATAGCATATGCGAGTTGGGAGTGAAATCGATATAATTCTGGTTAGTTGGCGGTTACGATGCTATAAACGCGTAAACACGATGCTTTATGTGTTTATTCGCGACAACGGAAACTCGGACAGAACTTGGGGCAAAATAATTTGTATATCCATTAGCAATGGAGATTGAATATTCATCTCGATATTGTAACAATTTCAAACTTTGCTCCTTTAATTACGAAAAATATTTCACCCGCAGCCGCACACACGCTACAACTCTCTGTAACTTTTCAATTAATCGAAATATATAAAATTTCGTAACGCGATATTTCCCGATACTTGGTATCGATAAATTTCGGCAACATAATTTGAAATACCGCGGTTTTCTCACTCTCTCGAGCTTGCGCGCGCTTTCGCAGAAATTAAGTAGTGTTATATCGACCAACTTTTATATAAACTTTTTGCACTTTATTTCATATTTTACAATACATACATAATTTATACTGTATATATTGTGCCATATTTAGATGCTATCTTATACCTAACGTAATTTTCACGCGATCGATTATTGTTCCCGTTTCGACTCATGCCGTGCTAAGCCTGAATCGCACCAGCAGTCTGGGTTAACTACTTTAGATCAACAATTTGATATATTTTTCTAAATTGCATTTATATCTATAGTACAGAGCAAAATCAGTGATTAAACAGAAATAGCTTTAATCGATTTTTCCTACTGTCGGAATTCTACATCTTGTACACGTGCATGTTCCAGTTTAAATATTTTGTCCCAAATATATATATTTATGTCAAATTAAAATACATTTTCTTTTAAATAATTCACAAAACAAATAGAAAATTTATGAAGCCGTCCTTTCCCCGAATAGAAAATCAAAATAATTACGCATTTATTATATACTTGTGAATAATTTAATAATTTAAATACCTTTTAAATATAAATTCGCATTTTTTAATATCATAAATTTTAAATTTAATTATACTCTATATAAGTCATAGAATTTCGATGCGAGAAATATATGAAAATAATCTCGCGGTTATCCCCATGAAATAAAAATGAGACAATTGATACAGGAACATATTTCCGTATTTACATAAGATATATATTTTCATATCGAAAATCGAGATTATTCGGATTGTATCGATTTTAATCAGAGACCTACATATTTAACGTACCAAAATATTGATATAATGTAATCTCCTGCGAGGAGGCATCCTCAATTCTTCAACAAACTCGAGACATTTTCGTCCACGCTTTCGAATTCTAAGCGGCAACGGATAACTTACTGCGTTCTGTCAAGCATAAGACGTTATTCGAGGTGATTATTAGCATGTCTAACGAATCGTTATGTAAACGACGAACCTATAGTAGGGATAACCTTCATGTACGAGCGAAATCATCAAGAGAGTAAACGCGCGCCATCAGCTGGGTCAAGGAACAATCTAAAGAAAAATGGTCCTCGTCAAAAGAACAAAACGCCTCTTGTTCCTCTAAACATCTCGAAAAATTACATTTTTCTCAAGAAATTAAAAAGTACTAAGAAGAAAAAAATTACGCAAAAAGATTATCTGCTTTTTGCAAAATTAATTATTAAATTATTATTAATTGCAAATGATAGATTCTCGTTGTTTAATATAAATTAATATATTATATTACAGATATGTTTTATTATATTTGTTAATTATAAACGTTGGAAAAAATTATTACATATAAAACAAATTTAACATTTCTCTGCAAAAAATATTGCAACAAACAATATACCATAAAAACGTTCGGAACGTTTGACATCTTTCTCAATTCCTGAGAGTTTATAAAGATATGTGGATCGGCATCAAATATATATTGATATATTTCGAAAGAAAGGAGAAAAATTGCGAGATTGCGTCGTACACGTATAATCCGCGAGCATATACTGGAAATCTTTATGGCGAACATAAAAGGTCACGGCACACTCTCTAGGAGATAGCGACGTAACGTATGAATCACAATTGTAATAAACTCGCGATCATTTTCGTGAGAGAATTATCTCATACCGAGCGCGAAAAAATGTCTCGCAATTCGTATATCGTCTCATAAAAGAATCTCGGTTATTTATAGAAGATGCTCGCATTTTTTATGCAAAGCGACAAGGACGATAATAACCGAGCGATGTAAATGCGGGATGAATTTTAATTTCTTGCGTTTCTCTCATCTTACAATGGAATATTATACTCCCTTTCTCTTCCTTCAAAGTTATAAATAATTATTATAAAAGCGGAATGAAATAAGTACGAGTCAAAGGAAGATTATGATGCAAGGATAAAGGATTTCTGAATACGTGCAATTTACAGATATAAAAATGAACTTTAATAAAAATGAAATTTATTATAATTAGATTTAAAAATCCATCGCGTCGAGCATCTTCCATAAAAAATAGCGTTATTACTGTTCTAAAAAATTTTTCAGAAATATACATTTAATTGTATATAAGATAAGCTATCTGTTTTGATATGTAACTTTAAATTTTTTAAGATATATAAATTTATATTATAGTATAAAACGAATTTTCGTTTCGAGATAAATTCAAATAATATATATCTCGTATCTTTTGTAATAATATTGCAATAAACATTATTGTGTAATATAATGATATTGTTTCCGAAAGACTAATGGTTTAATAATAGTCAATGACGAATGCGAGGAAATCCGTTGGTAACATTCTACGCCCATACGTACTTTCCACGAATGCCACTGACTAATGAGTCATCGAGTATCAGCTAGCGTGATACTTGATGCGTGTCGTGTGCCTTTCAAAACAAAATTAAGTATATTAATTGAAAATTAAGAACGAAAAGAGCAAGTGGGGTCGAATAATCTCCGCTCTATCATTACTGTTAATTATTATAATGTAAATCATAAATAAATAAATAAAGTTTTGTTTGCAAAATTTTGCAAAATTAATTTAAAATATTCATAGCATCTTAAAGAGATTTTAAAAAATGTCAAACTTGCAAAGATATTATATATTGAAAAGAATATTTATAATTTTAATCTCTCAATCATTAAAGAGATATAAAAGATTGAAATATTCGTACGACACAGAAAGCTAAATAATTTAGCAGCGATAAAAGCAATGTTGTCGAATTATTGAACTAAAAGTTTGTAGCATTTTACGTTATTGCTGATTTTCGATCGTCAATAATGTTACACTTTATGGGTGTATCTTCGTCTTATATCGGAAGTCATATATTTTGATTCAATCGATATCTCTCTCCTGCTTTCATGCAAAACACGAAGTATGTATGTACATATTGCATATTCGATATCGTCAATGATATCATTAACAAGTTGACAACGAATCCACAAGCGTGACATAACGATAGTACCTGGTACCCTTTCCTCTCCCTCCCGCCGCTATTATATCAATTAAAACGAATCTTGGCGAATTCGAAACCGGTTTCACGCACAATACCCTCGAATATTCGACAGGTGCAATCGCGTTGCATTTATATGACGAATTTTACCGCATTGAACCGTGCACCGTTGCAACATTGCCACGATTAATCCTTTCATGCGACGTGACATTTATTCCAGCCTGACGAATATTTGTCACGATGATCCGCTATTAAAGTCGACTGACAGCTTTAGTGGCTGAAATTTTTTTCCTCCTAGAATTTTTTTTTGCATCCTCGCTTCTGTCTCGACGTTTTAAATATCATCGAGAATATTCCAAAATACGTATAATCATGGAGAGAACATGTTTTGTAAATTTTTTTTTGTTCGTGTCCTCTCGATACTTTATTATATCATCAACTTGAGATCGAAAATATTATCATAAAAATATTCCAAGGTACACGTACGTGTATATTATTTTAGAGCGAATATAAACGAATGTTTTGTGTAAATATAGCGAGGGAACGGACAACGGTGTCCTTCAGAGCGATCTAAGCGAAGCGCAAACTTGACAGCCACGCGAGTACGTTAACCAGGGAATTAAGGTGGCATAATTTTGAAAAAAATGCAATTTTCGACACGCGAATACGAAAACACATCTTGCGGCGAATCGGGCGATTGATTTGCCATGAATGAACGTGGGACGTCGTGAACGCGCGTCTACGATATCCGAAGCTTCGCCGGACAATCGCCGACGATGTGGGATACGTTCTCCATTCATCCGCGCCTCGCCAATAAGTGACAAGGTCGGCCATGGTCGCCATGGACCCGGGATCGGTCCCGCGGTCTCCGTAATCGTAAGAGCCGACGACGATGACGATGACAACCGCGACGACCTTCGGTTCTCGTCGCGCGAGATACCGATCGGTACAGCGGGAACACCTGTCAGCTCGAGCGAGTAAACGAGACGCCTGTCATCCGCCGGTTACGCCTTCCCGATAACGAGCCGAGCCGGTGCCGACGAGACCGTCGACACGGCTCGAACCGAGCGATTTGCGGGACGACAAGCGCAAGTTTGCGCGCTCGCTGACGTTTAAACCTCGCGACGGGAGAGTCGCGGGGCGTGAGTTACGCGTGTACACGAGTGCGTGAGGTGTACGCGTGTCAACTCGGTTAGTCTGGTGGCACGTAACATGGGTGAGACAGAGATGGAAAAAGACGCGGAGAGCGAGCGGTAGAAAAGTCAAGTCGGACAGAGAAAGAGAGACGGAGAGAGAGGAGTAATCTCTCTCTCGACGGTATTCACTCACCGCGACGAGGGCTGCTAATCTATCCTTGGTCATGGTGAAGGGTGACGAGGAGTTGCGAGTCAGCGGGCGATGTACGGAGCGGCGTGTCTAGCGGGTAATCCCATTCACGGTTTTATCCATGTACGACGTGCACGGCCACTAAAAAACTAAAGGAAACGACGGACGCACTAGCACCGCGAGAGAGGCACGATCGTAAAATCGATACACTCGCGAACTCGCCTGCTTCTGCAGTGCCGTCCCGGCCCGACGCGCACGCGCCGATGACGTCAACTTCGCTTGCCAGGAACGGCGCGGCCGGCGCCGCCGGCGCCCCGTCCAACGGATAAACAATCGCCGGAGCAAGGACGTGACTTTCGATCCCGGGCCCGCTCGCGTCTTCGTTTCCTTCTCCTATTTTCGCACTCTTCCGTTCCACGCGCTTATAATGTTTACAAACACTCACTCATGTACATTGTTACGCGAAAGAATATTGTAAACACGACGTTATATCGGAAAATGTACTGTAACGTATATATCTTAGAATCGCGGAGATGTAAAATATAAATTGCGACGTGCGTCTTAAATTAAGTATCTGTCGAAGCAACAACAAAGAAATGCAAATAATGGTAACATTAATATAAAGTATTAATTAAAAAGTTTCTCTGGGGTATATGTTTCTTTGTGATAAGAGAAAATAGAAAAAAATATTGAATGTGATTTAATTATATGGATACATATAAACATAAAATGTAGAATTGTGTGTAAGATGTAATTCAAATTAAATTTGCAAAATTATAATATAATCGAGTAAATTTAATTTCTTCGTGTAGTTATTTGGCGCCGACAGTTGAAATCTGATATTTAATATACAGATTTAATCGCTTTCGTATCAAAAAATTACATCCTGTACGTTTCAATTAAATAATTAATTACTCGATTCTACATCGTTAAATGTATGAATGTCCGTTTTATCTATTAACGATAGATTAATTGTCATTATAAATATAAAACATTCTGCATAATAAAGGGACAAGATCAAAGATCAAAATTGCAATTAATTAATTACCTGTGAACCCGCACAATGTACCTGTCATTTCAAATGATGCAAGAAAAATTGAAAAAAATAAAGGAGAAAACGCGGCAAAAATATCTCAAATTAATTACACGAAGGCGACAAATATCCATCCACCAAAGCTTCCTCGCGCTTCATTTATTCGATCCGTTTCGCGCGAAATAACCGATCGTTTCCAAAGGAAGCGGACGTCCCTCGTGAAAACGACAAAGCAAAATCGAACGGCCTGCCTTTCAACATTTGCCGCCACGGGATAAATCGCGAAGCGCCCTCGCGATCGTGCACCTGCTGCGTTTCGCTGCGCAACTGCACCGTCTCGCGCGCCGGGTGCACCGGCGACGGAACAGCGCGCAGATGTCGCTGGCGGCGCGTTTCCGGCGAGTCGGGTCAATTGCGAGGATTTCTGCGTCCGTCGAGGTGGAAGCGCGCGCGATCTCGTCGCCGAGGAAGTCGCGGTAAATCGAGTCCGATTTTTTGCCGTCCGCCCCGCGGCCGATCGCCCCCCGATCGCGTTCACGTCGCGACCCGACGAATCGACGAAGGTGGCAGGTCGCCTCCGCTTGTCCGCCCCAGAGGAACGCCATTGTGAGCCGTAGCGACTGTGCCGTGCGGTGAGTGTACCGTTCATTTTCACGTGCATTCGCCGTCCACCCGGGAAAATTTTGTACTCGCGTCGAGACCGAGGGCCGCGCCGGGCGGAGTCGACGGTAATAATGACAGGCCGCGCGCGGGCGAGCGGATACGTCGCGAGATACGTCGGACGCGACGAGAGTGAAAATCGGAGGGAAAATTGTGCGGCCTTTTGCGCCTTCGTTCGACAGGCGCCATTTCCACGTCGCGCGCCGCGCCAGATTATCCCGCTGGATCCCGAGCGCGTGCCGCGACCCGGCTTCTTCCCTCGCGCCCGCGATTCCCGCGCGTCGTCCGATATATTCGTTTATCGCGAGGGTATCTCGAGACGTGTCGAGTCTCTTGTCTCTCGATCACGTTCCCAACGCGTGACCGCGAGGCTTTTTCCAGTAGCTTCGATCGGCGGGTGTCCTTGGTCGAATTTTTCTCAGATCCCCTTCGTCCACGTAAATCTTGGATTCGACGTGAATCTTCACCTCCCTCGCGATATTCGCGAAAGTAGAAAATATTGTGTTTGAAAAATCGTCTCGCGGAGTCTCGCCGGATTTTTTCCGCTCGCTGCATAAGGTGGTAAGCTAGAATCTAATCAGTCTCTCTCTGTTTGCAGAAACGTGACACTTCCTGACATCGATCAAGTCTACGGAAAAATTAACAGTAACAAAAATGGCAAACGAACCCGATATGCCCACCTTCAAGTGCGTGCTCGTCGGCGATGGTGGTACCGGTAAGACCACCTTCGTTAAACGGCATCTGACCGGTGAATTCGAAAAGAAGTACGTCGCCACTCTGGGTGTAGAGGTGCATCCGCTCATCTTCCACACCAATCGTGGACCGATCCGTTTCAACGTCTGGGATACGGCCGGTCAGGAAAAGTTCGGAGGTCTTCGCGATGGCTATTATATTCAAGGACAGTGCGCCGTAATTATGTTCGATGTCACATCTAGAGTGACGTATAAAAATGTACCCAACTGGCACAGAGATCTGGTCCGTGTCTGCGAAAACATACCGATTGTTCTCTGCGGTAACAAAGTCGACATCAAGGATAGGAAAGTAAAGGCCAAGAGCATCGTGTTTCACAGGAAGAAGAATCTACAGGTAGATACATATGTATTTGCAGGGCAATATTTCAAACTACATATGTAAACATAAATATTCTTCAAATTATGTATATACATGTATATATATTTAATTATTCTTCTTACTTATGTTTAAGCTTTTTTTTTCTCTATTTTATTTTTTGTTTCATGATGATTCAGTACTCTGATATAAAGTGAAGAAATTACACTGTCCCTCTAATCTGAATTCTACTTACATTATCCCCCCCCAATCCGATGTTATAATGTTACAGAATATAAACCAGATATACAATTTTGATATTTTTTACATTTCAGTACTACGACATCAGTGCAAAAAGTAATTACAACTTTGAAAAACCTTTTCTCTGGTTGGCACGCAAGTTAATCGGAGATCCAAATTTGGAATTTGTCGCTATGCCTGCGCTACTGCCGCCGGAAGTTACTATGGATCCACAGTGGCAGCAACAGATCGAGAAAGATCTCAAGGAAGCTCAAGAAACGGCATTACCAGAAGACGACGAAGACCTTTAGTTTATTTAATACTGTGGTTGTGGCCTTTACGGAGAGTAAGGCCTACTATACGAGTGTCCCTTGGATGTACCGCGCACTCGTGTTTCTTTATATAGAGATCGAAGATTCTTTCTTTGGAGAAAATAATTACATATTTACAAAAGCAATTATTTAGTTCAATAAACATTATTCTGGATAATTTTGATGTAATTTTTTGGATCTTCTACTATTGTTATCATTATAGCCTTAAAGATGGGTCATGTGGATATATTAATGCGAAATACACGCATGTGTGATTGTGTATGCAAATTATCTACACTTGCATGTTTAGATTTTGTAAAATTCTCATGTAAGAGGAAACAATAATGTCATATAAATTTATAAATTAAAAATGAAACAAAAGGAGCGAAGGTGAAACAATTTGTGATACCAGTTCATAGAATACAGTCTGCTAAAGCTGTTGTACGTGATGTAATAATGAAACGATCTAAACAAATTCTTCGCATTTTTCGATTCGCTCGCTTGTATAAATGTGCGTGCGTGCGTGTGTGTACATATATACGTGAGAAATGGGAATTGTGTAAAAGGCGTGCTGTATATTAAATACAATCGCGCTAACCCACTTTAAGGCATATTTAAAATAACAATATTTGTTTTTTATGTTTCATTTTCATCGTTTTCTGACATCAAGTGTAGAATACAAACTGCCAATTCTGAAATAGATATACAATAGTTCGGCATGCAGATTGCATCAGTTTACAAGAAAGAATCTTGCGATATGCATATAATTGCAAATTTTTATAAGCAAAAAATGAATGTATCATTTGTTCAACTTAAATTATATAAACAGAGTGTTTTTTTTTTCTATACAAGAGTTTTGTTTAAAAGTACGTGAAACTGTTAACCCACCCTTTCAAATCATTGTTCCCGATAACTAATTAACAGAAAAAAATAAACTATGTGTAAATTACACTGCTGAATTTTTAGCATAGAACGAAATTAGAGGAATGACATTGCAACATGTATATTTAATTCTTGTACACTTCTAATAGCGTTTCATTATTCTGCTTGAAGCAGATTGTACCGCGCTGATGTATGAACTTTAATAAATTATGAAACTGTTTTTAAAGCTATAAAAATTTTCGAACTTTTGTGTATTAATCGCGCAATTCCCGACGTTTTATTAACATATTGTTTATTTCAAAATGCACTAGATCATACATTGTATTTCTTATATAGATGCATGAAAACACTAAGAAAGAAATCAGATATATTTGATAAACCTATGCTTACAATATATTTGAATTAATATAGACTACCATCATCAGAGTTCGAATCTCAGTGCCGTTTTCTTCGCTCTAAATGTATGTTAGTGGTCGAGTATCGCGAAAAGCAATAACTCCGTCTACTCCGTGCCAGTTTAACGTAGCAAAGAGAGCACCGTGGCATAGAATATAAATATATATACATCTACATATATATATATATATATATATATATATATATATATATATATATATATTATAGAATATAGAAGTATATATATATGTAATAAAATATATGATTATATAATGAAAAGTGTGTATAAGTACATACATATGACTTATATATTACATTTATTTATAACATTAAATAAACGTATAATTCTGTATTAATTTATACTTAATTATATATAATATATATGAATTTGTATAGTATGTCACGGTTCGCTCTTTGCTATGTTAGATTGCTTTTCGCGACACTCGGCCGCTAGCATGCACTTTGAGTGGGGGGAAACGGGACGAAGTCCGGACTCTGATCATATCTCATACTATTCTACGTTAATGACTAAAATTATAAGGATCATCTCTCTATAATAAAATGGTAAAAATACATTTAAATATATAATTAACTTATATATTTAGCATTACAATATCTGTGTCGGTTTCACATTTTGCACATTTATCAAACTAACTTCCATTTCAAAGGAATGTCGGATATTTTGAACAGACTCATTTCAGTTGTGATGGAGATCCGACTATCTGATTTGACATATGTTTCTTTTTGTTATAGCATGATTATGATTTATTTCAACAAATATTTTTCGAGTTCTACTGTTTTTGTTGCTTCAACTCCTTCTGTTTTGCTTTCTTACCTTCAAGAAGGGCTACTCGCTCTGATTCGGTAAGCGGTTTTAGAGTGTTAGTAACCACACCAGTTCCTACAGTCACTACTCCATCTCGTAATGTGAAGCGCTGTCCTTTTTCTAATACCATTGGTTTTATCAACTTTAGTATCAATCTGCAACAAAAGAGCACAATAAATATACATGACAAATTTTCGAAAAACTATACATTTAAATGAAATATGTCTTACGTAGCATCCTCTCCTGGCATGGCTAAATTTTTATTCCCTCCTACAGCAGTCTGTACTGCAATATCCCATGTTCTACAAAACATTTGTAATTGCATCATACTTGTTACAGGTTTCTTTTTGCCTCCTTCCTCCTGCTTCAATATATACACTTGCGATTCTATGTGATCGTACGCCTTCATGGTACCAGGTTTACACAATACCATGCCTCTTCTAACGTCGTCTCTCTTCAAACCTCTTAATAGAGCACCGAGTTGATCTCCTGCTTGAGCTTCATCCAATATCTGATGAAACATCTCTATACCTGTGATTGTACTTTTCAAAACTTTGTTGTGACCAATAATCTCGCTTTCCATTCCTTTTTTAATTTTTCCGCGCTCCAATCTACCAGTGACCACAGTACCTCTTCCAGGAATAGAATATACATTCTCTATCGGAAGTAGGAAGGGCTTATCCAGATCTCTTTGAGGAGTCGGAATACTTTTGTCTATCGCTTCCAACAATTGTAAAATAGCTTGTGTACCTATTTCAGGATTCTTTCCTTCGAGCGCACAAAGCGCACTACCCTTTACTATCGCGATGTTATCGCCGTCATAGCCCATTTCAGAAAACAATTCTCGTATCTCCATTTCTACTAACTCAACCATTTCTGAATCAGCCGCATCAACCTAGAAGACATTAAAAGATATGATTTCGATACCATGTGTACTTGTGTTTACTTTTTTACTCTTAACAATCTTTTGTACATGTTATACCTTGTTGATAAATACAATGATGTGCTGGATACCAATTTGTTTAGCAAGGAGCAAGTGTTCTCTAGTCTGTGGCATTGTACCATCTGTGGCTGCAACAACCAATATAGCGCCATCCATCTGTGCCGTTCCTGTGATCATATTTTTAATGTAATCGGCATGACCTGGACAATCCGTGTGTCCATAATGGCGATTTTCTGTCTGGTATTCTACATGTGCGACGTTAATGGTAATTCCACGAGCTTGCTCTTCAGGAGCATTGTCAATGTCACTATATTTCTTAGCTGTTGCTAGTTCCTTTTCAGATAATACTGTTTATAACAATATTTTGTTTATTCATGTTTCTGTTCATATGACAAATAAAGCAAAGTATAATTATATATGTATATACCTTTAGTAATAGCTGCTGTCAGAGTTGTTTTGCCATGATCTACATGACCGATAGTACCTACATTGCAATGTGGTTTGTCACGAGAGAATATTTTCTTCTCTGCATAAAATCTTTGGCTGATAACAGTTGGAAGGAACAGTCGACTATTCAATTGATGACGACGTTGCTAAAATAGTACAGTATTATAATGTATAATCAAAGAAAATTAAAATTTAGCTATACATTAACAGTACAGTAAATCATATTGAATCTTACACTATATAAAAGATATATATATTTAGAGATAAAAATTTAAGAAAATCGAGAAAAGTACAAACATTAACGCGAAGTAAAAATACTATAATTTTTTAATAAAATGTTGATTCGAATATCGTATATTTGTAAAAAAATTTTCACTGATAATACGATTTATTTGAATATTAGCTTTTATATAGCTAGTAACCGCTATTATCGTCAGCCATGAAATTAACGAATCGTTGTTGACAGCAAACATGAGAACCTACGCATTTAGGCAGTTGCTTCGTGAAGATGATCTGCCTGAGGGTTTGTCTCAGCACTGAAATAGAAATATATGATTGAAACAATGTTTTACTGATACTTTCAATGTGCTTAACCCAATTTCATCACGTGTGGTAATCATTGTCGGGAAGGAGATTCCGGCGACAAGACAACGTTAAAGGAATGATCAGTAAAGTTTATCGGAAAGATTCCCATCGCGTTGGCGTGAATATGAATCTTTTATATCCTTACCGGGATTGAAAATCGCTCTTGTAGAAATGAGAGCCATATTTCTCAAAAAATCACTCAATAACGAAATGCAACTCGGATTAATCTCCGGCAAGTGACGAAAACTCTCGAAAACTCGCCGGAGAGAATTGCAGAGAATAGATGAAACGTGCTGCCCCTTATGCAACACTCGTGGCAGCTCGAGAAAAGATCTGAATTATCAGCGGAGGCAAGGTAGAAAAATGCATGAACCTTGCCTTAGGGCGCGTTTACATTTTGGCAGAAAATCAGAAGCCAATCAGAACCAGAGAGAAGACTGAGAGGTGTCATGGCCCGCTTTTAGGTGATCCCTGAAATCTGTTAATCTAAAAAACGTGGACATGAACTACAAAGCCAAAGTCCACGAAAGTTCTCAGAGAGTAACATATATATGCACAATTTCTGATTCTGTTCCGTGCTATGTAAAAAATGCCTGTAGTACACGAAATGCCTATGTACACGAAATGCCATCAGTGCTGTATAGCAAAACGCATATGTATATAAATATAAATAAAATTTAATTTGAATTTTTTAAATAAATTTTGTGGTCCTCTCTCTCTCCCTTTCTCTCTCTCTCTCTCTACACATACACAAATAAACACACACACATATAATATATATATGTATATATAGTATAACGCTACAACTTTATTCTGAAATATTTGCGTTATGTTTAGAAATATATATATATATATATATATATATATATATATATATATATATATATTCAATTTAAAACATTACATGAAATACACACGCTGGAATTACATATATATATATATATATATTCTATGTGTACATAAATACAGATATATTATCTCTTTTCGAAAGATATATTAACATTGAAAAATTTAAATATAATATATATTTAATTAATTGATTCATATCTATTTATGTCGTATCACAAAGTAAGAAGTTAAAATTTGACTTCAATCCCGAAAAATACTGTGATCTTCCAATGTAATGTTCAAAGATAAAATAAATATTTTTCTATAGATTCAATGTCATATTTATATATTTTTATTTACAAAAAAACAAAATGTCTGTTTTGGAATAAAAACCTTTTTAACCGTATTTTTATAAATCTTTTTAATTAGCAGTAAAATGATCTTTGATATTTATCAATCATTTTTTTTAATTATTTAAAAATGTAATTATTAATACATGTATAGAATTTGTTAAAGTAATCACTGATTCTTCTGAAGCTTTTATAATTAAGATTCAAAAAATATAGATGTTGCAAAATATTTTAAATATCTCTTCCTTTATATAAAATATAAAGAATTCATATGTTCTATTCTAATATAGTCAACATTATTTGTATACTTTTATTATAATTTTCTTACCGGCATAATATTTTTATGCTTAATATTTTATATAATATAATGTACTAAATTATAAAATTTAATATAATTACAAAATAGTATTATTATTAATAAAAAGATTGCACACTATCTTTTAGTTTCTAATTATTTTCAATCATTATGCATTTCTATCCAATATATTCTCTTCTTCGAGTTCTTGGATTATTACGGTTTATTATATTCCTTTGTGTTAAAATTATAAGAATTATCATCATTTGTCATTCCTTCCTATGGAGTCCATCGAAATACTTTCTATGGACATTTGTTCTCAGGTATAGATATTCAAATCACTGTAGTTGCCTTTTTCTCGATTATTGTTCCTTTTTCTTTCATTTTATTTAAAAATATTAATATAATTAATATAACAAATATTTATATAATTATTTCTCTTAGTCTGACATTTCCCCTTCGACTTGTCCAGCATAGATGACTCTATCAATAACTACGATCGATATTCATAACTCACTTTTATATTTAAGATCATACTTAAAATTATCTTAAATATAAGAAAAGTCTATACGAATATCGGTGTTATATGTTACAGCCGGCATAGCTCTTAGGCTCATTAAAATACTCAAACCTCCTCAGCAGACAAATGCCATCCTTAAGATGGAGATATCATCGAGAAGGCAAAATTTTTCATTTTCTTTCAATACAGAATTTAATACAAAAAGTTAATGTAAAATATAATATTATATAATTTGAAATGTAATACAAAATAAATTAACAATCCTTTTTTTTTTACGTGGGGAAAAAAAACTCTCTTAAAAAACACTCAAAAAATATTGATCCCTTAAAAATTCTTAATATTAATAATATAATTAATGAAATATTTATTAATTAGTTTTCCCTAATATTATTTAAACCTACATTTCCTGATTCCTTAAAAGATACATAATATAAAATCAGCTAAATTAATCACATAATAGCCCTAACAATCCTCTACTTTTTGAAAGGAAAATTAAAAAATCTTAATGATCACCTAATAGCCCTAACAATCCTATTTCTCGATTAAGTGAAATTATTCGAGAAAAGCCTATCTCTAATCACGTATATTTTAATTATGTGCCCTAATTACATTCTCTAACCGCATGCCCTAACCGCGTGAATAAATGTCCGACATTACGTACTATTGTACGTAAAGCTTTTCTTCAGGCCAGTTGAACTTACTTTTCGTTGATCCTGACCACTTTCTCACTCGATCTCTAATCAGAGATCGAAAAAGGAGACAAACACTCCTTCTTTTGCCGATTAATTACCGGCAAATGAGCGTAAATATTTCACGCTCATCGTAACAGTCGCTCGATTTTACGATCGTTTGTTAAATATTTGAATATAACTTTATTTTAACTCAAATAAAGCCAAATTACTACAAATTTCTATATACTATATTTTCTAATAAAATATAAAATTCATGTGTGTGTATAACTTTTATGATATTACAAATTATTTAATTAATTAATCGTTTGGCTTTATTTTAAGTTAAAGTAAAATTTAAAAACAATATCTACAAACAAATTCTACAATGGATGAGCTATGATATAAGAAATTAGAATAAAATAAGTGCGCGTTATAAGAATAAAGTATCAAAAATTAATAAAATTGTTAAAATTATTAATGCGTGCTCTTGATTTAATAAACTAGTCAAGTCTTTACAAAAAAAATTTTCTTTTCTTGATTCTCTTTTTTAAATTAATACTTCAATATATTTTCGCAATAGATGCAAAGCATTTCGAAAGAATTTATTAAAAGTTATTTAATTTAATCTATCCTAGCTCATCCATTTTAAGGCAACGGATTTACTCTACAATTCACAATCTACAATCTACAATCTACAATCTACAATCTATATCTACAATCTCTACGAATCCGTTACCTTAAAGTTAAATAAAAGTTTTTCTCACTCACCGGCACTGATGCGCAACAGCGGAGTTGTTGTTATCGAAGCTAATTGTCTGTAACATACAAATATAAAATTCATTTATATTAATGCTCACAAAATGCAATCAATATTTCAAAAAATTTTTATCGCGCGGAATTTTATATCCGATGTGTAAAATAATAAGCACAGATAAACACGTGTGGAAAATTTTTATAAAATTTTAAAACTGTTTTTTAAGAAAGTTTTTTAAAAAGTTTTATATAACTTTTATAAAAATCTTTCTCTCTAATTTTCTCTTTAATTCATTTAAATAATAAGATCGAATTATTATGCGTACGATTTATATACAAATAATAAACAATTGATATACAAATAATAAATATTCACCATCAGGTTGCTCCGCCGATGCAAGATGCCTCTCCCAGGCCTCCTCCTCCTCTCATGTTGTTGACGCGCGATACTTTCAACGGCACTCCCGCACTCACGAGCGATATTTTTATATCGCTATTTTCGTTATTTTACGCGCGATACTAAACGGCACTCCCGCACTACTTCGGTATTCGGATTAAAAATTTGGTCGCGCGATGTATATATTTAATTATATATATACTTTCAACGACACTCCCGGTTTCGGTACGAGCGAAAATCTCATTTCATTTACGAGACTTAACTTTGAGCCAACAGGTCGGTAGTGCAACGATACAACGAGCAAAGATTAGGCCCGAACCGGAAAGAAGACGAAACGATTGAGGAATAGAGGAAAATAAAGTTCACCAGCTCTTTTTCGCGCATAATTATCCTATCTCGTATCGAACCTGGACCCGCTAAGCATGATTTCAGGTGCTTCGCCCGGAACACGAAGTTTCCCGCAATGCAGGATATGGCTACACCAGGCTGGTAGACGGCAAAAGAAGAGGATACCCACATTTTTTAAATGCTAACATTCAGCAATTTAAAAAATGGGGAGGCAACCTCTTTTACCGAGCGAAAATCATGCTTAGGGGAATCCACTCGACTCCTCGACAGGGTTAACACACGCAGTGCGTGTGGCTGTAGGGTAGACGAGCAAAGAAAAGGGACCCATTGACGACCATTCCGAGCAATCGATCGAGTTCTAACTAATTCGGGCCGAATCATTTGACGAAATACGAAGCACGAAGCGCGAGTGTACGTTGCATAACAACGTGTGCAAACTCGAAACATCCCAGTTAGTTGGCATCGGAAGTAGAGACTCGTGACAATAAATGAAATTGGGATTTTATATGAAAAAGTCCAAAATTTCCGCGAAAACGCGACGACCCGAGAATACTACAACGCGAAAACGCGGTAACGAAACGCTTGCCGTCCACGGCACGTTGACGGCACCGACGACGCGAAAGGGTACTTAGCTTCCCTTTTAAGCACCTTAAGATTTATCATAAATAGAAAAATTTAAGATAAATCTCAAGACACCATCCAAGTACTAAGCCCTCCCACCGCGACAAGGTGTACCCCATGGGAGGGTTATATTATATATAATTTTATATATAATATAATATATACAATTGCAGCATTTATTTTGCAATATAGTATAAATTTAAATTTGCATAACAAGACTGTAAAACACAATCATTGACACGGTATTGTTTATGTCGAATATTATGTTATTCATTGTTGAAATTTATTGTTGAAACTCATTATTAAAATATAATATAATTTGAAATGTAATACAACATAATTTAACAATTTTTTTTTTTTTTTTTTTTACGTGGGGAAAATGCTCCTTATGCACACCCCGACGGGACCGCTATTTAGCTATTTAGCGGTCCCGTCGGGGTAGTGTTGGGCTCTCCCTGCCGCCATTTTAACGGCAGGGACTACCAACTAAAAACCCCACGCGCCTTTCCTTAGTCTTCCAACGCGCAAG